TTAGTAAATTCAGAAATAGCAAGTATTTAAATTTTTAATTTTAAAAACTATAAATTATTTAACTTTTTTTATTTTATTTAAGTTTTATTCAAGAAATGATTCAACAATTATAGTTATTTGAAACTATAACACAAAAATTATTAGGTGCTAAATATTTAAAACTTAATCTGGTACATCTATATATATATATATTAGAACAAATATTTGTACCAAGAATTGAAAAAAATAAAACTATTAATAGTTATATGGATCTTATCTATGGGTCTTTATTACAAGATAATATTTTAGAAAATATTGAAGATGATGATAATTCAAATTCTATAAGTAATGATGATGATATTCTAACTGCTGAAAATAAGTACCACTTGAAATATACTTATTAACAATTTAAACAACAGGTAAAAAATATGTAAGGTTAAGATAGAGAAAGAGATTGAGCTAGAAGTCAAATCAGAGATCATAGTAGAGGTTAAAACTATGAGCATATGACTAATTAAAATAAAAATGAAAATGTTAATCAAATTAAATATTTGCTACTAGCAAGCACAGAAAATCTCACTCAAAATATCTGCATAGCTATATATCTTTTATTAGATAAACTATTAAAAGTACCAAATAAACTATCTTTAATTGCAATAATTTTAGATTTATGAATAAAAAGTTTTCTATTTATAAATAATTCTGATCATATGCAGCAATGAATACAAGCAGAATTCTTATTGAGAAACTTATATGTTCAACTTAAACAAAATTCAACAAATGTTCAAGAAAGCATTTTAACTATGACAACTTTGAGTGATAATAATACTGAAGATATATTTATAAAAATATAAACTAATAATCAAATACTAGTAGAAGATAAGGTTACTTGTTATTTGTGTTATCCTAATAAACTAAAAAATATTAATCCTTTAATTTGGTACTAAAGATATCAAGTAAGTTATCTTTTTTTGTTACAACTAGTATGTAAGTATCTTTTAATATCTGCTATATCAGTTCCTAGTGAATGACTTTTCTCTAATGCTAGCAATTATATTACAGCAAAAAGAACATGATTAGTATCTAATTTGGTCAATAATATTCTGTTTTTAAAATATAATACTATATACTTTCCTATATTTCTATCTTTAGAAACTGACAAATAGTATTTTCTTTACTTTTTTAATATAGTTGTTTTAAGCTAATTTTTATTAATTAGAATAAGTAAAACATTAGTGTTTTAAATCAATATAAGAATATTTTTATTAAAGCAAATAAAATAAAAACTAAATCTATACTTAGCTTTTTAATAATAAATAGTCATCTTATTAAAATGTATATAATATAAGCTAATTTCTGATTAGCTTATTGTCTATTTGTAAGTGAGTAATATAAATAAATCTTAAAAATTCTTACTATTATAGAATACTTTATCAATATTAGTTATAATAATATCATTATTAGTTTATAAAACAATATTATTAGTTAATTATTATATATTGTTATTCAAAACTAATAATAAATTATTATATATTTATGTAATAAACTATTTATAGATATGCAAATTATATCTAAATATTGATTTAACAATTTAAATTTAAATCTGAAGCTAAAGATCACTAATTAAATAAATTAAAATTTAAAAAATAAATTCAGTTCCAAACTCTAGTTATAATAAAAAGTACAAGTAGATCTGAAATAGTTCTTTTTCCCTATTTTAATTGAGTATAATAGTATTATATTTTGAATATTATATTGAAATGTAATCATAATATAACTTTTTTTAATTTCTTGTTAACTATATTAGCTCTAAAAAAATTTTTTTTATTGTATTTCAGCTAAGTTTTATAAGAACCTATATACAGTACTAGCTACCAGATATCTTTACTTCTTTTATATTATATACTAAAATACTCTATAGTTTGAAGATTTCTAGAACATCTTGAGTACTTCTTAGTATCTTCTTAAATTATGTATTATAACTAATAACTCAGAAATAGTACATAGTAGTAAAAGTACTAAAAAATATCTAATTTTTGTTATTAATTCATTTTAGGTTGATTCATTTTCTTTAAGAGTCTATTAGTATTTAATTTATATTTTTTTTGTATTACTATGAGGTGAGTATATTTGTTTTTCAAAAAAGTTGTACTTTTTTTAACTATGTACTTATTTTCACTATAACTAGCTAGACTAGTATTCTAATCTGATTAGGTCAATCTAAAAAAAAACCTAACTTGAAAGTTCAGGTTATGTTTGGATCAAAAAAATTAACTTGAAAATTTTCAGGTTGAGTTCAGATTAAGAGTTAATCTGATCTGAACTTAATCTGAAAATTACTAATAATAAGGCAAGTTAGCATTAAATTAATTTTGGTCTACTTTAAAATTAATTTTAGTCAGTATTAAAATTAATTTTGGCTAGCATTAAGATTAATTTTGGCTAGTATTAAGATTAATTTCAGGCTAGTATTAAGTATTATATTAGTATAACATATGTGTTAATTAAAATTTAATATAAGTTATATAATATTAGTTTATTTATTTATTTTTTTGGTTTATTTTTCTCTTCTTATTATTATTATTCAAATAATATCAGTTTATTTATTTTTTATTTTATTTTATTTTATTTTATTTTATTTATTTTATTTTATTTTATTTACTAGTTCATTCTATTTCTTTATATATATATATATATATATATAAGACTTTATTATTTTTATTAATATATATATTTTTAGATTAATTTTGAGTTAGGTTTAGGTTAGATTAGTTTAAGCTATAATCTGACTCAAAAATTTTAGGTTAGTTTGAGAAATTTTTAGATTAAGTTCAAATTAGTCAAAACCTAATCTGATCTAATTTAATAAGAATATTAAACCAGACTAATAGAGCTTAAATTCTAAGACTAAGTACTAAAGATATTCAGATTTCTTTCTATTCTTCTTTATACTAATAAGCAAGTTTTTTATTTATTAGATTATATTTTAAATTTGATTAAGATTGTGTTGAAAGCATCTCTACTATAATATTACATTTATTTCTTAAACTTTTTTCAATTTTAACTTATTCAGTTTTGGTCTAAAAATTAGAACTTGATAATAATTTAAACTAAACTAAAAGTAGCTTAATATTTTTTTTTTTTTTTTTTTTTTTTTATTATTATTATTATTATTATTATTATTATTATTATAATACCATAGTAGAAACTTTATTACAAAGTAGAACAAATGTTCAGAATTTAAAGATTTCCAACTATATTTGTATTATATAAAACTAAATTATTAGTTATTTTAAGATCACCCAATGTGACATTATACCCCTATTCCCTATTGTTTACTATATTTAATTATTTCAAATTAGTTTTTAGCTAGGAGAGGTTGGAGAAAATCTAAGATGTTAATCATGACATTATAATATACAGGTTGTTAGTGAGAAGTCTTGTAGAAACCATTTTTGATTTCAGATATGGAGTTTGTTGTTTGAATAGTTATTGTTTTTGCATTTGGTTTGTTAAAGAGTATAGGATATATGAGTTTTATGCGTTTAGTTTTTGTTGTGATATTTCGTTCAAGTTCCTATTTGTGTTAATATATGTTTCATTGAGACTATATATTACTATATAGCCAGTTAAATAAGTTGTTTGCTATATTAGTAAGAAGAGTATCTGTTTGTTTTTGAACTAAATTTTTGATATTAGTATAAGTTGTTATCAAGAAAGTACTAGTTATAGAGTAAAGAATATGTTGGTATTGT